CCGGGCTTCCAAGACAAATGAACTTCAGTTCAATTAAAGTGAACTAAACAGGTCTGGTGTGAATGCAACCGCAGATCACATCATTTTCAAACACACAAACAGATAAAGGTAATTTTTATGCCTTTGTTTTGGCGCCCCCACTACCACAGCACCCATATGCAGGAGAAATCATGCATACCCACTAATGGTTATTGCAGTAATTGATTAATTGGCTAAAAATAAATTGGCATGTTCTGCAGGATTTCCATTTAACTTATTTTTGTTTTTACACAATATTAGAAATATATTAAAAGATGCAAATAAGAAAATAATTAAATTAACTTTTTAAAATTAAAAAATAAAACTGTTATTGCCTGACATAATAATAGCAATTCTTTTGTGTATGCTTGGTCATTTGTAGCAAAGGATGCATCTGCAGCTAAAAACAAATACTGCGTACTAATCTGTTTATACTTTTGGTTAATAGATAGCAAAGGGTGCTTAATTGGAGGTTTATTTATTGTTCTTTCAGGAAATGAATTTTAGTCTGTATCTTCAGGTAACAATTATTAAGTTAGATGACAATTATTTCTATAATCATGATTAATTGGATAAATCGTTTCAGCCCTGGTCAAAAGGTCAAGTTTAGTTGCTCAACGCAGAAGAAACGAGACTGAAGCAGATGTTTCTGGTTTGATTTCCACATCACATTTCACAATTCGCCAGCCCACTCTGACCACCACACACTGCTTCAATAAACCAATGTAACCTCTTTGCACAATCCAGGCCGCCTCTCAGCCCAGTCAGGGGAGAATGACGCAGGTCCGCTCAGCCCGACACGAGCTGAGACATTCCCTGGAGAGCGCGGGATACGGAGCGCTCGCTGAAACGCAAGAAGCTCTGAAATCACAAGCAGTTTCACAACCGTCCCCTTCTTTCTCCCGCCTGTGTGTTTTCCCAACGCGAAGCCGGGATTCAGACACTGAGGGACAAACAAGTTGCTTCATCACAGCCAGATGCTGCTGGAGTTCATCTTTCTTATCCCAGAACAGTCACTGCATGTAGGAAGCTTTCGTGGAGGTTTGTTTTTTCACTGCTGATACTGGACCTCAGGTTCAGCGTCAGTCTTTGGGTTAAAGCTGAAGTTCCTTCACATTCCAGCATGTGGCTGAAATGTTTGATTTTTGTCTAAACTAGGTGACAGATTTCTGTTTGTTAGTATTAAGCATCCCGTTGAAGAGGGAGGGACACAGAGGGAACAGAAAATCAGTAATAATGACTTAATTTGTTCATGTCTCTGAAAGTAAAACAACTCAGAAAACAACTCAGAACCAGAAAGTGTCCACACCAGAGATTCACAAAACATTTTGTCCAAGTCAGCTGTCTGAATTATCATTTTCTCATCAAAAATTATCTCATCAAAAATTATCATTTTCTCATCAAATCCCCAATGTCAGTCCTCTTAGGCTGAACGATATGCATGACAAACAACATAAGCATTTCATATCAATCAATATAGATAATTATTGATTTATTTTTTTGCCAAACTGGTGGCATGATCTTTCCTGTTTTATCAACAGTTTTCAGTTCATGCTGCTGTTTTTTTATTTTTAAGCAATTAGAAGGCACGGCAGCGAAACCTGAAACTGCTGCCGCACAAGTGGCTCAACAAGTTGTTGCTAAGAAACCAAGGAATGAGTTGCTAGGTAACCAAAGAATGAGTGAGTTGCTAGGTGAGTGAGTTAGTGTATTCCTAAAACCAAGCTGGCTGAGAGGCTGAGCGACTAAAAGCCTTTCCATTGCCTACATCCCCCAGATTGCAGTGCGTTTCTGGATCAGAGTTCAGTGAAATTATTGAACATTTTATCAGATCAGTCGAATGCTACTTCCCCACCTTTGGTTCTGTTTCTGGGGATCCAGAGCAGAACCAGAAGACCTGAGAGGGCTGAAATGTTGATACAACAGCAGCAGATCTTTAATGTATTGTGGTGCTATGCCGTTCAGAGATTTATAAACTACCAGTATGTTGAAGTCTATCTGCTCTATCTTCTTGGTTTTAGTCAGAACTCCAGCAGCAGTATTCTGGATCAGCTGCAGCTGGAGGATTTTTTAGACAGACCTGTAAAAACACTGCTGCAGTAACCAATGCAACTGAAGATAAACACATGATCTAATTTATCTTGCCAGGACATTAGTCCTTTAATCCTAGAAATATTCTTCAGGTAATAAAAGGCTGAATTTCTAACTGTCTTTAAGTGTCTCTGAAGGTTCATGTCTGAAATCACACACCAATATCACTTCCTCAGACAATCGATGTATTACCTGATTAAAAATACTTTAAACATCATATTAAAAATTAGACATTTTATCGGCTTTGATGGAAACCAGCACATCCCATTTCTTACCGACCATCACAAACACATGAACATTTCTTAACATAAAAATCTGGAGGTAGAAGAAACTTAAAAGTGTTTCACTGTTCGGTCTTTCAGTAGGACCAGGATCAAAACATGCGGACAAAATCAACAAATTGTTCAGCAGAAACAAAATCAACTTTCTTTCTGTGAAATGTTGTGAGGAAATGAAGTTATTTGATCAGATAACTGAAAACTTAATTTCTAAGATTTTTTTCCACTTGTAAAATGTTGCATAGACTTATTTCTTGTTTGCTACAATGTTATAAACAATGAATGAATGTTCTTGGTGTTCTCAAGTAATTTCTAGAAATACTAAAACTGCAACAAGGTGCATTAATTGAATAGATAAGATATTAAAAACTATTTTTAATGACTGTTGGGAATTTTGTGCATAGTGGACCCTGTTTAAATTTCAGATCTTAAAGAGATGGAATCAATCTATGCATACAAACATTAAAAACGTCAGTGAAAAAAAATCTCAAAATCCTCTGAAACTCTGCAGGCTGGTGTGTTATTTTACTTATTTGAGGAACAAACAGGCGCCTTTTGCTTTTATATAATAAAACTGCTGCTGGTGGTTAAGTTTGCTGCAGAAGTAAAAACCAAACATTTACATTTCCTTGAATAAATTTGTAGAGTTAATTATTTAGTGTGATTTGTTACCATCCAAGCCAAAATTAAAGAAATCAAAAAGGAAAGTTTCAGAAGATTAAATCGGGTTAAAATGATGTAGCAACAAGGGACCTGAAATGAGTTAAACCTTTATTATCCCATAGATTAACTTACAAATTCAACTTCCTTTATTTACATAGCGATAATTCGCAAGAAAAGCAACTAAATGAATAGATAATCCTCAGAAACATCTAAATAAATCCATCAAGCCAGATTATATTCACCAAATTAAATACAGAAAAGTGGAATTAAATCTACTGAAGGCGGCATAAAATCATTTCAAGATTAATTAAATTAGTTGAAATTAGAAAAATTAAAAGTATTTGTTACCTCATGAGTTATTCCAACACCAAGTTTCCGAACCGCTGCAGTAAAAGTCGCTTGTTTCGGAAGCAAAGTGGGTCATAAAGTGTTCTGGCTGGTTCGGTTCGGGCTGCAGTCTGGACTCTCCTGTAGTCCTGAGTAAAAAAGCCTGGGAGGCGAACTGCCATCCTCACCGAGGCGGACCGTATCAAGTATCGATGACTGCGTCAAGTTCACTGTGATCAGGGAAACACTTCCGGTTGAGATTTTCAAAATAAGATAAATCATAGCCGTCTAAAACAGCCAAAATGTAAAAAAAAGAGAGAAAAAAGATCTGATTTCGTTATATTTGTTCAATTTGAAAGTCAAACATCTTGAAATTAAATCTGATGTTTTATCATATTAATAAAGTACAGAAGTTTAAAATTACTTTGCCTTTAAGTTGTTTGGAAAAAACAACTTTAAAAAATTGAGATAAATTTTTACAAGTAATCAAATTAATTTTATTTAAGTAAATATATTAAGTTTAGTTAGATTTTTGGACACATTGTTCTGAACTGGAACTCCAAAATTCTTGCTAAATTCAGTTTCAAAAAAGAAAGAAAATGTTGACAATTAAAACTCATTCAATTTAATTCAAATATTGTCTAAAGTATTCCCCGTTTCTTATGAACATTTTATTTGTTTGTCCTTACAATATTTCTTCCTTCCACTCAACTTTCCTTAATACTAGAATGCGGGACACAGATTCTTTAGCAAAATTATTGTTGTCATTATTTATTTGTCTTTTATAGAGCATGTCAGTGACTAACAAGTAAGCAGACTTTCCAAAACATGGATATAAATACTTCTTATTTACTAATTTCCTAGTTTTATCTTCATTTTACTTTAGAAAAATATTATTATGCAATATCATTAAATTGTTGTGTATAATTTGTTTATATTCACCTTGTGTAAATTACTGAATAAATTAAAAACTAAAGAAATCATAGTGTCCAGTGTTGGGCGGTAACAAGTTACATTTACTGATTTAAATTTAGCCTACTTAAGTCTTTTTTTTTTTTTTAAAGATGTACGTTTAGGAGTATTTCTACTACTGTGCTTTTAACTTGTACTTGAATAATTTTATTATAAAGTATCTCTACTCTTACACGAGTAAGATTTCTGGATTTCTACCCACTGAATGAAAAACAAACACGTTTTAACCATTAATTCACCTGACACAGACACACCTGTTTCATAAGTTTTATATTGAAAGAAACTGATTTGGAAAAATATATTTTGTCTGATTTTTTTTTGTTTGTTTGTTTTTGTTTTTGTTACCTATATGAATTATTGATATTTTGGCTCGTCTGGTGATGTCATTTTTAAATATGAAATGATTGATCATTTGATCAGTTCTTGACTTTTTACCATACAAACTTTGCGCAGAGTCGTGACTGTGTCCAGTCTTTAATTTTGGTATTTCTAAGCGGAAGCTGTGAGTTTGTGTCCGGCCAGGCAGCTCGGTCAGCTGGCGGCCGCTGTCAGAGGAGCCGATCCGCCGTCATGTCGCTGCAGTTCGGGGATGAGGAGTTCCAGAGCGCCTGGCAGGAGCTGGACGAGCCGCAGCTGGACGGATGGGAACTCTTCACCGAGGCGATGGGGGTCCAGATCCACCGGCGTTACGACCGGGTAGGCAGAACCGAGCCGGTCCGACTGAACAGAACCTCTGCAGAACCTGCAGCAGGTGTGTAAATAACGTACATGAATACCGCTCAGCCCTGGCCTCTTGAAACAAAAATAGATTTTTTTATTATTATTTTGTTTTATTAATAATACTTCACCTGGGATGTCCTAGCGGCCAGAGGCGGAAAAATCCGGAACTGAGCGAGAGCTTGTTGATTTACTCAGAAACCACCTCAGCAGGTTCTCTGCAGCCTTCAGGAGACTGGAAATTTTACCAGAACTGGAAAAGCAGGTCATTGAGAACTGAAACTAAGCATGGAAAAATGAAATCATTTTAAAAGGGTGTAAATCCAACCCTTTTTAAAGCTTTAGACCATGGCATAATGTTATGTTGCTTTAATCTCCCAAGGCAACCTTTCAGCTGTCTAAAACGCCTTGGTGAACCTCCTGCTGGCCACTCAGCTCCTTCAGACTAACCAGCAGCAATTAGCAAACATCAGAGGATCTGCTGAGCTCATCACTGCTACTTCTCAGTGCAACACTGGTAAAAATGTTTCTAAACCAGGTGTGTCGAACTCCAGTCCTCAAGGGCCAGTGTCTTGCAACTTTTAGATGTGCCTCTGCTGCACCACCTGAATAGAATAATTAGGTCATTAGCAGGACTCCGGAGAACCAATCTACACAAGGAGGAGGTAATGAAGCCATTTCATTCCAGTGTTTTGTACCTGTGGCACATCTAAAAACTGCAGGACGGCGGCCCTTCAGGACTGGACTTTGACATTTGTGCTCTAAATGGTTAATAGATGTGATAACTTCCTGAAAGTAGAGTTTCAGAAAGAGCAGGAGTTTTTAAAGAGACAGAGGCCCAATTTCAAGTCGTTAACGGGGCAGTATATAGTAATGTTTATTAAAACCTGTTGAAGTAAATCCAATAACTCTGCCGGTGCGGGAGAGAGAAGGAGTGAAGACACACCTTCCTTTTGCTGGTTGCAGGAAACTGGACTTTATGAGTACAAAGTTTATGGAGCGCTGGACAGCTGCGACCCAGAACTCTGTGCAGACGTCTACATGGACCTGATGTATCGGAAACAATGGGACAGTTATGTGAAAGGTAAAAAGACAAGTTCACACGCCTTTGTTATTTTAGAATGTCTTTGGAAAACTCAGATTTTTGTTTTGGGTTTCATGCACATCTGCAGCACCAAGCAGGTAACATGTTCGCTGCAGCTGGTATTGGTCGGTTCCATCCAGAAAGGAAGGAATGGTCCAGTGTGGATGTAGTTTGGTTGAGCTACAGACCGGCGATGAGGCAAAGTGGTTAAAACAGGCAGAAACACATCAGATACTGAAAATGGGTCAGGTGCTTTAGTTATCGATTATTCTGATGATTAATCAGCTAAAAGAGTAGCTGCATTGTGCAGATTTTTCATATAAGCCTTTTAGGAATACACCCATCCACTTTTCCACTTCTGATACCTTTATCGATATCTGAGGTTTAGTATCGGCTGATACTGATCCAATACAGAAAGAGTTCTGAATTGACTTAAACGTGTTTCTTTTTAAACACAGACATAAATTAACTGAATGTCAAATGTATTTGATAATGCTGCACCAGCACAGCTCATTTAAATACACCAGTAACTCACAAGCTTGGTCAAAAATGGACTGATACAGATAGTAAAATAGGATCTGTGCATCTCTAATTAGAAATGCATCAAAAGTTGCAAATAAACAATGCAATAACATAATTTGTTTATTAATTTTTGCATTAATGACTAATAAATTGAGAGCAAAATGTGCTTAAAAGAATATATATATATATATATATATATATATATATATATATATATATAACAGTAATTTGAACCAGGTGAAGCCAAAACTGCCACTGGTACAAATATTTACAGATAAAGATTTTTCTTTTATGTTAAATGCAAAATGTATTTATTTTTTGTTCTCACGGTTGTGAGTATGTTGTTCTTTTTTGAGTCAGATTACTCCAGTTAACAACTAACTGGTTGCTAAATTAGTTGACAATTGTTTGAATAATCGATTTATCATGATTAATCGTTTTAGCAGTAGAGGACACAGAGAATGTCCCAGATTGCATCCAGACCTCACCACTCCTTTCAGGTTCTGCACAGCAGCTGCTTATTGTTTGAAATATTAGAAATAATTAGATTAGTTTTGCTTTCTATGTTCTTGTTTAACAGCTTTTAGAAAACACTTTTAAAGTTGATGTGTTCATTTTGTAGTTTTGAGATGTGTCTGTCTTGTTTTATGTGTTGCAGTAAAAGCCATCAGAAGGTTAAAGTTATGTCTGTAAAATATGCAGCTGTGTTTATTTGAGCCTCCATGACTAACAGGAAGATTCAGCTGGAAATCTTCTGAATATTTGGGTCAGTTTGGGAAGCAAAACTCTAACATCAAGGCCGAATGTTTAGAACTTGGACAAATGTTTGAGGATGCTGCTTTTTATATACCACAAATTGCAAAAAATAATGGAAAAACGGCAAATTACTCAACAAAAACTGCTTCTAAGTATTACATTATTAATGGTTATAACAAACTGATATAGTTTGGTACATGAAAATGAAATAGTTGACTTACAGAGGAAGATAAAATGGAAAGTCATGGAAGCAAAATGTTCCTGAGAAAAAGATATAAATTAAACTGCTGCTGGGAAATTACTGCTTTCAGTGCTGCTTTATGAAGTTTTTTGTTATTTTTGTTTCCTCAGAGCTCTACGAGAAGGATTTCGATGGACAAACAGCGATTTACTGGGAAGTGAAATACCCGTTTCCTCTGAAAAACAGAGACGTATCCTTTAGTTCTCCAAAACAGACGACTTCCTTTCCATTTTTATTCGTTACTTTGTAGTTATGACGATTTCATGCAATCTTAACATCCATGTTCCCTGACTGCTCCGACCTCAGTATGTTTACGTAAGGGAGCGGAGAGACCTGGACATAAATGGCAGAAAGATCTTTGTGATCCTGGCCAGAAGCTCGCCGGAGACGGCGTGTCCAGAGACGAGCTCCGCTCTGAGGGTGACCGACTACAAGCAGAGCGTCGCCATGGAGAGCAACGGAGCCGGCGGCACTAAAGGTGACGAACAGCTGATTAATATGCAACAAAGCCAATGAAAGTCTGATTCTGGATTAATAATTTGATTAATTATAGAATAAAAACTGTGATACTTTACAAGAGAAAATATAAGTAAACAATGATTATGTTACACTGAGAGGTGTGGTGTGGAAGAAAAACTCCTCAAAGCTGGCTGTAGCATAAACAAAGGTGGTTTATTAGGCCTCCTTCAGCACAGCATAGCTCACGGACAAGACAAAATGACATCTTTCCCATCAGTCTCTTAGCTTTCAATCTCTCTGCTTCAGACTCTCAAGCTTTCTCCCTCTCCTTGGCTCAGCCAACAGTCCCCTTATATACTGTTGTCCCCACCTTCTCAATTAACTGCCCAGCCAATCAAAGTCCAGCAAACATGGGCCTTTCTATAAAAGAGCTGGGTTTGAGGCGGGCCTCCTCTTTGGTAGGTTCCAAGATGGCTGCTACAAGGACACACCCAAAAGGTAACAAACATTTCACAAACAAAAGGATCACATACACACATTCTAGAACTTAAATGTTACAGAAAATATTATTGCTTCTTAACAGATTACTTCTGGAGTTCCCCCAGGCTGCTTTCTTGGGCCCCTATAATTAATAAAATCTATTCTACAAGAAAGAAAATCTAAAACAAAAATTATTCTTGGTGTTCCACAAGGCTTGTTTCTGAGGCCACTTATATTTAATCCTTAATGTCCTAAATTTAAAATCTCCGCCTGGATGTTTTTGCTTATTTTAATTATTTTTAAATGTCCAGTGAGTAAATATATATTTGCCCATTTATCCATAACAACTGAAACTTTCAATATGTAGCAAGTTATTTTCACAATTTATCGTCTATTAAAAGAATCGCTCAGATGAATTTCCTGCTACAGTGAGGGTGAAATTACCGTAATAATCCGATATTAGCTGGAAAGCACAACGTCTTTGCGCCGAGAGGGAGATCAGCACCTCCACTAGTTTCAGTTCACTGGAAACCACCTTCTGACTGTTGGAGGGTTAAATTTCTTTTCTTAGTGTGATCAGCTTAATGTTTTAGCCGTTAGCAGGTGAAACCCTCATGTGAGGACTAATCTTGTGCTGTGTTTCAGTGTTCATGAACTACTTTGATAATCCTGGCGGTATGATCCCGACCTGGCTGGTGAACTGGGCTGCGAAGGTGAGGGCAGTCATGTTCAAAACGGTCTAAACAAAGCACAGAAATTATGTTGAAAACCTGCAAAATGAGATGTGTTGTTTTTGGAGATGACTCACCAGGTGTTTTTTCCCCTTTAAGTTACTTTAATTAAAGCATTTTCCAGAATCTTATAAATGAAAGTAAAGCAGTTCTCACATCTCTGCAACTATCTGCATGTTCAGACATTTGGTTTTTCCTGCCGACTCTCTGGGACTCATTTCTCCCCTTGCTTTACGATTCTGCTGGGGTTTTGTTTACTGGTGTGTTGTAGACTGACGTCATTGGTTCCCCTTCTAGGTGGGTCTTTTTGGCTCATCTTCTGAGCTAATGTGTGTTTTTGTTTTGTTTTTACTTCTTCCAGAGCGGGGTTCCAAGCTTCATTAAAGATCTGCAGAAGGCCTGCAACAAGTACAAGTCGTACTGCGAGAAGAAATGAGAGCAGCTCACTGGAAAAACACGAAATCTCACCAAGTGTTTTTGTCTAGTTTCAAGTGCAAATATCTTGTTATACTTAAAATAACTTACTAGAAATGTTTCACCAAGATATAGGAACAACTGCCAGATTATTTCACTTATAACAAGACATTTTTCTGTTATAAGTGCCAGTGGAACTATTTTTTTTCACCAACATTAAAGAATTTAAACAAGCTCTTATATCTTGCTGAGAAGTTATCTGTAAGTCATTTTAGCTTTATTCCAAGTGTACTAAGATATTTGCACTAGAAACTGAAGTTACTTGGTGAGTTTTCTGTTTATGCTGTGCTGATGGTGACAGTGGCTCATGCTGAAGAGTTTTCTTGCTGCTCTGTTTTCCGTTTTTGCGTTTGGCGGCTATGGGGTTGTGTTCAAGGTGCATGTGGTGTGTTGGTTTTTGCAGCTCTTCCTGTTTACTTGGCCATAAAGTGAAAGGCTGCTGTGAATTGATTGTGTTCCCAGTTGCTGGTCTACTCCTCTCTTTTCAGGGGATATTTTCATTTAATTGACTGTTTAGTTGATATGAAGATGTCAATCATTCCTTCAGGCTGTATTTACCAAAACGATCTTTTTGCACGGGATTTCATGACCTTGTCTTGTTTACTGTTTGTGTTGATTGAGGGAGATTAAATATGTTTTACTGAGTTGGGATATTCAGTAAAATATCAGAACTTCTGCATATGGATGCTGGATTACTTCACGCTCCTTTTGTCCTGGTGAATGGAGCGTAGCTGTGTCAATGCAGATAAATTCATTTTAATTCACCGATGCTGCTTGTTTATTCTCTCAGCTAAAATCAAATTAAAATTACATAATTTATATGTTATGAAGTTTTGGTATCAATCCAATACCAAGTAAATACAGAGCCAGTGTTGGTGACACAAATCATTTTTTACTGTTTACGTTTGTTGTATCATCAAAAGTTTGACGTTTGATTTTTTTAATGATTTTTCATTTGAATTGTTTTGTTAAAATCATGAATATCATTTGGAAAAAGTTTATCCCCAAAGACTTTAAAAACATCTCAACACCAAAAACAGAAACATTAGAAAGACAAAAATGTGTTTTCTTCCCCAAATAAAGTATAAAAAATGATAAAACATCTATAATACAGATAAACGTTATTTTGAAAAATAACGAATCAGAATCAATAGTTTTTAGGACAACTGATTCTCAAACAATCTCCCCTTTGCTTTGCTTTTACACTCACAAGATGGCGGCTTAAAATGGACACAAAGGTTTCCGGCTCTGTTAATAAATCCAGTTTAGTCTCATGTGTCCCTTTAATAACCGTTAATTAACAATTACAACAATTTATTTATGAATACCAGCAGTTTGCTACCTAATCGAGGCAAAAAACTGAGAAAGATTTACTTTTTTTTTTTCAAACCAAATTTTATTTCTAATTACTAAATAAGCTTTTGCCTTTACATATGTATCATCAATAAAGACAATAACTACATATAAATTTGCCTTATTCATCTCTCAAGCATGCGCATTGGATTCATCTTCAATCGAGCAGCGCTAATTTAGGCTAAAAGGAGACTTTTCCATTTTCCCTGGAAATGGAAAAGCTGCCGAAATTGAAAATCCACTCTGGAAGCTAACAGGAGAAGCTTAGCTTCAGGGAGAAAACCAACTCGTCTGGATGTTGAAGAGGTGTGCTGCTGATTACCTGCCCGTTTCTGATCAGAGAGATGAGGAAGCGGGGTGCGCACCATTTATCAACCGGCGCGGCGGGCGGACGATTCCTAACGGCTCCGTGAATCAGGTGGGCGGTTCAGATTGGTCCTGTCTGACACGTGACACATTCAAACGACTGGTTCTTTAGATTCAGATATACATATATTTAAAAATATCTTAATACCAAATAGTTAAAAATCTGTTACACAATGTTAATATGTGTGACAGTGAATATTCTTTATTTGTGCAAATCTTGGACATATTTTCCAATCTCTGTTTAAAGAAAAGAGACAAAAATTATCCTTTAAATTTTAAACCCAAGAAATCAGGAAGATGTGCTACATTCATAAATTATTGCACTGGTTTATTCCCCTTATGTTTTCAGCTGGATTTAACAGAAAAACTGCCTGTATTGGACTTATATTTTTGGAAATTTTATTTTCATTATTTCACTGTATTATTTAAAAGATGAAAGTAGCACCAGAAACTCTTAGTGTCACATGTCAAGGAAAACCTGCTGAATTGATTGTGTTGTTTTTCTGCTCTCCAGAAAATCTAAAAACTTCCAATTCCAGTGGAAAGCGAAGTGGCTTCGCTCCATGTTGGACGTCGTCTCCAGAAAAAACAGACTTTCATAAGGTTGGTGAGAGCTAAAGCAGGAATATCATTCACTTTACTGTCATCAATAGATGGATGCTATCTGAAATAGTTAAAGTTAAAAAGTGTGATGCTCTTTTTCACTCCGTGCTGTTTACTTTTAAAAATAAGGTGGGAAAACCTTAAAGTTCAGCGCAAGTTGCTCAATGGGTTGTTGCTAGGTAACCATAAGCTGCTCAGCAGGGTGTTGCTAGGTAACCATAAGCTGCTCAGCAGGGTGTTGCTAGGTAACCAAAGAGTGAGTGAGTTGATGCCACCCAACTTGCTTAGCTAGCTGTGAGAGGTTGAGTGGCTGAAGTGTTTCCTCTGCCTACGTCTCCCAGAATGCTGTGCGGTTCTGGATCTCAGTTCAGTGAATATTCTTAATATTGAATATTCTCAGATGTATTGTCTGTTGATATTATCTGTCTATTGCGATATATACGTTTTTATTGGTTTATTGTCCCATAAAGCTAAAACGTGACGGGTTAGATGGAATTAAATGCAAAACTTTGATAGTTTCACAGAGAAAAACAAAGCAGTTAACTGACTTTACATGAGTGCAGATGTTACAGTTCCAGTTTTTTTGTTTTTTAAACCTAGAGAGAGGAAATTAAAAACTTTTATAACAGGTTAAAGATCTTTTAAAGTCTTCAAACTCTTTAATGGATGTTTTTTATTATTATTATTTTAGTTTTATCTAACAGTCATACTTGTAGTTCCCTCAGACTCTTCATTAGTGTCTCATAAAATAGTCTGAAAACATAAAAAACTAATATAAACATGTTTTTATTAGATTTAAAACAATTAAAAATGGAATGATGTTTAACAAGTAGTACATTAAAAACAACTCTGGGTTGTAAATAAAAATCTTTTCCCGTGAATATATATATATATATATATATATATATATATATATATATATATAAAGTCCTAAATTATTGAGCAACAAGTGTCTGACAGCGCGGTTATCTCTGATGTTGTTGCGCCCTCTGCTGGTTAAACGGACACACTGACCGGAACTGCTCGCAGAAGCAGAAACTGTTGCTCAATTTTAATGTAGTTAATGTTTCAAAATTAGATAAATGAATCCAGTTTGTTACTGTCCAATCGAACCTTTAATTTTTTCCCCTGAATAATCTAGTAATTAATCAAAATCAATATTGGTATGAAATATTCCCTTTTGTGTCTTATTTTTTGGAAATTTTTGCACGTTTTGTGTTTTCCCCATCAAGAAAATATAAAGCTCTGACGATATAAATAATTGAAATATAAAATAAAACTTTTATTTGTATTTAGGTGAGAAGCTGGACAGATATGTGTTGAATGTGTGGGGAAAAGAAAATTTCCTCAAACTATTTTTCATAAGAGGGGATTAACTGAGGAGCTCATTTTACTCTGTGGTTTTATATTCATGTTTTAATATCTGCATTTGATCCGCATTTCTCTTGTTGCCATGGCAACCCTAACAACATGTACCCTAACTTTCATGTCCTCAGTTTTGATCCATGTTTCACAGAACCACCAGGTTTCTGTTGTTTTGTTTGTTTGTTTGTTTGTTTGTTTGTTTGTTTTGTATCTAATTGTTGCAGAACAATTATGGGCTGGTGCTGAAACTCTGGTGCCACCTAGTGGTTCCAGGAAATATTCCAACAACGGTTTGTTTCTTTGTTTAGATGTGACTCCATAGTTTTCATAAGGTATTTCTTGATGTGGAGCTGCTGCTCCTGGAACAGTCTTGTATTCAGCGTAAACATTTTCTGATGTCTTCCCTTCTTGGCACCGGTTCGTCTGTGAGGAATGGACCATCATCAGATGCTTAGACGTGACTTTATCGTAACCCCGTATCTCCTGGATCAACATTCTGCTGCTAGTCTCACACATGGAGGAAAATATGTTTCTTGGCTGCCCGCTGTGTGTCAGAGTGGGGTTCTTTTGATTGCTAATATACAGCGCTAATTAGCTCTAGAAAGTCATCTTGGATTGCAGCAGCCCCCTTAACCTCAGCTCAGATTTCCCAGGTGCCTCGCAGTCTGCCAGAGCTAACAAAATAATGGCTCCACTTGGAAGCTAATTTTTCAGAGTTGTCTTGTTGTGTTTTAGCAGATTATTGTTGGAGATACTGGTCACCGGAGGGGATTCTCGAACTTGGGAAGGCCTATGAACACTTTATGAAATGTTTCAAGTATGCAGAGGTATACTGCATACTATTTACTATTTATTGTTATTTCTTTGGCTGAAATAGATTAAAGGTGATCTATTATGCTTCCTTGAACTTGTTAGGGTAGGTTTGTGGGCTTTACAAAATGTGTTCAAAACATTTTTTGCACAAAGTCTTCCTGGAATAATTAGAATTGTCTGCTTTTCATCCTGAAAGGACCTTTCGGGTCCTTTCAGCAGAGCTGTCTCTTTAAATCCAAACAAGCTGCTGCTGGCCACATGCCTCAACTCCATGTTTACACTCGTTCATAAAAAATGGCTGCAAACATGAGCAATTATACAACCTTACATCTTTGAAAAACAGAAATGGAGCCTTCTGCACAATCAACAAGAATGCAGCAACTGGTTTCTAGACTGCAAGTCAACAACAAAACACTTGTCTTTTTCAGTAGCCATTGTACTGCAGTAAAACAAGCTGACCAAATGTGCTGGAGCTCAGTTTGGGTTGCTAGGTAACTGATGGAACTCTGCCTGGGATGCTAGGGAACGGACTGGGGTTACTAGGTGAGGGATTGTGCCTGCTGATTTGTGGCGTCACCACTTCTTGCCAAAAACTGTCTGGATGGGTTTTTTAAGCACTGTTTTTAGACGCAATAGAAACCCAAATGGAAGTACAAAAAAACATGCAAAATGTGAATCTTTCATTTAAAACATCCCCTTTAAAGATGAATTTTATTCTTTAGTTTGGTGCCAGTGTTTCGGGAGGAGACAATAATACGTTTACACACAGCTGGGGAGTGGCAGGAGTGCTCCTGCATGTTGAAATATGTTTGTGTTTCTGCCTAAAGCTTGTAAAAGCTTCACCTTTAGACTTCAGTTACAGAGTATTAAACCGAGGCGCTGGAGGCCCGGCTCTATTAATGACGGTTCTGGCTCAGTTCTGGGCTTCAGAAAGTGTCGGCCCCATCCACCTCCATCGCTGGCTGTAAAAGTTTAAAATAATATTTACGGACTGCCCGTGGATAAGTGCTGATTTGAATAAAGAGTTATTTTTACAAGCAGAAAAGCCACAAATCAGATATATAGGCTGATAATGTTCACCTCCAGGCTGAGAGGCTCATAATGCGCTCTTCTTGCCCTCTACGCCGCCGTTTCTTCTGCCAACTCTCGGTTGCGTAAGCTGCATTTTGGGGTCAACTGTACCTCGGCGAATGATATTTTATCTAACTGTACTTTGCTTGAGTGCACGCTCACATGACCGGCTTCCTGTGAGAGACGAAGACGCCTTCAGGCAGCGTAGTTTAGACACCATCAGTCATGAAATAACTGGGATTCAAATCCAGTATCAAACTGGACCTACTCTGTTTGTTTAAAAAAATAACCCACATTGCTGAGGTTTACGGGTCAAGGCATTTTTTAGAAACCTTGTTGTTTTTTAATGCTAAAATTCTTTGAACACTGTTATTTAAATGTTCAGGTGATGCTGAACATTTAAAATTTGTCGTCTGATTTAAGTTAGTTTGTTGTCTTGTGTTTTTTTCTCGCGGCCTCATTTGATTAAAGTGAAGATTTTTTTTACATTATATATAAAAATGTTTATGCAGGAAAAAACCTTTTGGGATGCAGGTAAAAAATAGCAAAGCAAATGAGGGACATGCAATAATTTTTCAAATTTAGGTCAGTGAACGCATCACAGCTTAGCAAGTAGCCATTTTGGAAAACTTTCTTTTTTGTATTAAAAAAAAATCAAAAGATAGACAAAAAAGACTTTTAAAAAGAAACTGTCCACCTTGGAATCTGCAGTTATTTTGCGGTTTATAATTGGCGTTTTTTAGTTCTTCACTTTGTCATTTTTCTAAATATTCTAATTTTGATGGAAATTATCTCCAACTCCACGTTTGGCTTCTTACAAACTGCAGCAGTCACTTCTCCTGTACTAGATTTTATTAAGGATCTCCAAAGTTAAGGGTGCTGAGTACAAATTTATTCAAACGTTTTAATTTTCCTTCTATTTAGCTTGTGCGTCAGATTTATGTACCAGAAACGCAAGACACAGGTTCCGGTTCAGGAATTTGTATGTTAAAAAACAATTATTAGCTGCGTTAAAGTCTATGTAATTATTAAACATTAACCTTTTAAAGTTCTGACCCAGGCCAAAAGTTGAGACATATAAGTTCCAACTCTGAGTGCATGAGAGTGTTTCCCTGCTACCCTCGGAAAGTTTTAAAGTTTTCAAAATGAAAGTTGTCATCTGTTCCTTAAAGGAGGAATATAAAAAGGTTTTATTTGGTTTATTTCAGTTTTAAGCTCTCATTGCCTCTAATGGCAGCTGATGGGTCATTAGTAGTAACCGTCTCTGGACACCACAGACGGTTCCTCCTCCTCCTGCAGCTCTACATACCAGTCAGTTACTCTCCCTGCAGCAGACTGGGGCTCCTCTCCGTGTTTTTTTTTTCTTTCTGTGGTTTCTGGCAGCCAGCTCCAGATTCCTGCATGTCTATCTGTGCAATCAGCCGACCAGACCCAGAGTCAGCCTGGAAAAAAGCAGCAAAAAAATGACTCTGATAAAACAAATACTAAACAATAACTTTTTCTGTTTGCAATACAGACACACTCATTACTCAGACTTCCATAATCTCTCTGCTTAAATAAAGTAATTAGCTCTAACCATACACAGGTTGATGGGAGGACGGTGTCATTTAAGGAGCAGAAGGTAAACATCATGTTCTTTTCCTCTTGGTTTTAACTTGTCATTGTTTACGTCCAGATTTACCACGTCTGGCTTCATCTGCTGCAGAATTATGACGCACGTCTCACTTCAGTTACATAAAAGTTGGACAAAA